GGCTCTACTGTGTACACCCCATGGACTGGATCATTCACCTCTACTTTCTCCACCGGCGAGACCACTGTGACTGGACCTGACGGCAAGCCAACCACTACGACTGTGTACTACGTTGAAACCCCTGTTGGCGGATACTATCGGAACACGTCGTCTAGTGGACAAGCTTTCAGTACACGGGTAGAGCCCTCGGTTATAACAAGTGGTGGATCATCTTTGACATATTCATCATCAGCGAAGGAAAGCAATGCTCATTCGGAATCTGCAGTAACGACAACACACACCGAAAGCACATTTGATTCTACTGCGACTGCTCCTACTACTCAACCATCACAAACTGGCTCTACGATTGTTGTCACTGAAGGGAACACGGTGACTGGTTTCACCACCGCTATTTCATCAGCCAATAGATTAAGCACGTCCTCTGATTACGCAAGTCCAAGTGCGTCAGCTGCTTCAAGTGTACCAGGTGCACCAGGCTCTGGGCCCGGCAATGGCATTCCAACCACTTTGAGTGGTTCAGGTACTCCAAGCTCCAGCTCTGGATCTGCCAACCCTACTGCTACAAGTGTACCAGGTGCGCCAGGCTCTAGCTCTGGACTTGTTGAGCCAACTGCTTCAAGTGTACCAGTTGCACCAGGCGCACTCGGCTCTAGCTCTGAAAACGCTAACCCAACTGCTTCAAGTGTACCCGGTTCGCCAGGCTCTGGGCCCGGTAATGGTAATCCAACCACTTTGAGTGGTTCGGGCGCTCCGGGATCAGGATCCGGTAATCCAACTGCTTCGGGTCTTTACACCACCAGTTCAGAAAGAAATAGCGGAGCTCTAGAGACCACAAACGCTGGAGTGAAAACTTCACCGGTCACAACTTCTAGTTCGCTAGCCCACTCGACTGCAGCTGCCACAGTTTCGACTTATGAAGGTGTTGCCAACAGGTTGGGCCTCGGAATGCTGCTGGCACTTCCTTTGGCCTTGATCTGAGAAAGGAGATACCCTAGATAGACATTCAGCAAAGTATACTTTGCGCTTCTCAGATCTTTATTTCTATATACTTATGATACATTAGATACATCAACACATTGTTCAATTAAACATTTGTACGACAGACATATCATCGAGCAGCCAAAGTTCTCGGAATGAACGTTACAGGCGAGCTTTAGCTGAATCAGAAAACAGTACTCATTTTATGTTGACTACTAGGCTCTTCCAAAGCGACAAAAAAGGTGAGTTATACTCGACGCAGGTGGGCAGTTTTGAAGAGAGGAAGAATTGAGTGCATGGCTCGCCAAAAATACAGTTTCGCGAAGCATTGACGTGAGCTCGCGGAACTCGAGGCCAAACGGCTCTTTGCACTAGGTTCTTTTACCTTGTTTTTTCGTTGGATGATTATAATTCAAAAATCGTTTCCAACTCCTGTAAGTAAAGCTGAAGAGAGACTGGTTTTGGCTGAGGGACTACGAGCGCGGCCGTGATATAATGACCAGAGACCAGAATTCCAAAAAAATCCTAGACATCACACTGTGATGCAACGTCTCACAAGAAGAGACCTTTTTCGGAACGAAAAATTACATCGATTTTAATTCACTTTGAAGGATGCAGAGTGCTGGGCAACCATCATATAACAAAAGCTTTTGAGAAGGGCCGAAGCGGGTATTTCGAGGCTTCGAAATTGTGAGATCATCTATTGCATGCGAAAAATTGGGTGACAGAGCTGTTTCTACACTTGAATTGTCCATTAATCTTCGAACATTGGCAATAGGTCTGGTGGCTGAAGAAACTTATTCTTAAAACCTGAAAATGGAAGCTTCCTATTTTTATTGCTCAGGCTTTATCAATGAATCAAGAATGAGCATGCCAGAGACTAGCCTTCTTGGGAAATTAAACGACTTCTGAGAAACGTCGTTGAAGTTCCATAATGGAGAATTATTGCCAGTTATGATGACTGGGTAGCTTTGGAAGAGCGAAATCCTAACGCGACTTTAGTGAGTACCTAAAGAATTTACACCTGACTTCCATCGTAATGCCTAGTTGTTCCACCACAAACTTTTTTCAACCAGCGATAATCTCTTCTAAAGTTTCTGAACCTGCTTAGCAGCTTATCCTTGCAATTGATGCGTCTTGACTTTGACGGAGCAGAGCAGAAAGCTGTATTTTGTCTTGTCAGAGTGAAGGCATCTATCGATGTCGCGCAACACGATATGCTAAGTCCGGACTTTATCGCCGGCAGGCAATCCTATGTTGTTGCCAATTTAATTAATGAGATGAGCTCGAGACGGTTAGTCACCCGAGGCGATAATAACTAAACTGCATAAGTGGCGATATTATTGTATCAAAGGATTCTGAAGACAGACAACCTTTCAATAGTGTGGCATCTACCCAACAGTGCAAAGACATGGCTATCGCGCGGATTTAACACATGAGGGATGCACCCTTTTCATATGGCTGATATACCATCTGCTTTCACGAAACTCAAAATAAACGAGTTTCTAAACGAGACTGCTGAAGATTTTAGTTCGGGCAACTATCGAGTCACAAAACCGCCCCGTTACAACTTCCTGCCTCTCTAAATTGAGCCACACTAACACTTTCAAAAATACATGCCTTATCCTGAGCTTGTATATATACTGCTCTTCGAGAAAAATGTAGCGAACTACAAAATGCTCAGTTAGCGAAGCTGACACCAAGAAACAACATGACACAAGTTCATTTTGGCCAACCTCTTCCTAGCAATTTGGACTATGCGGTGTCGTTCGGTATTCCTACATGGGAGTCTGCTGTGGGGTACGTGGAGAAAAACCCAGTTTTTGTCAATAAAATGGTGACTGGATACCCTAGATATTTTCCTCAACCTGCCATACAAGAACTTTGCGATCGTTTGAAAAAAAAATTCGACCGCGAAGCAGAAGGCTGTCGCCCTTTTCCTTCTTTGCAGTGCGCTTCAAGATGTCTGGAATATGTGAGGTCGGTACACGGCTCCCAGAGTAGAGCCTTCCTCGAGTCTGAAACTTTTAATTTGAGTGATACTTCGGACGATGGCACTCCACTGATCGCTGTAACGATAGCTGCTGTTTTCGCCTTAGACGAGGAATTCGAAACCGTGAAAGAATATTGGAAACTGACGGGCGAATGCGTATCGAGTCGTTTAGCGGTTCTTACTAATGAATGCCTAGAAGATGCGGATTCAGAATCAAAGCCAAGTCCAATTCTTTTCAAGAAGGCAGGTATTGCTGTGTTGAAGAAAAATGGAGAAGAGGCCACGAGTCAGGTGAAAATGAGAGTGGCAACTAACCACACTTCGCCTTTGGGAAAAAAAAGCTCTGAAGGTAAGATCCCGATTAATCCTTTTAGAGACGTGTTTCTAGTATCCAGTGGTATGTCTTCGATCTTCAATACCCGCAAATTGCTTACATTCCTGGAATGCAACAAAAGCCTTGGGCACCTACCGGTGAGTAAAACTTGCAAAACCTTTTGCGACACGGCAGCTGTCTTTGGCTTTCCTTTCAAAGATACCAAAGTTATCATGGAGAAATTTGGTAAATGCCAATTCTTTGGGTTTGGTGACTCCAGGGATATAGCCGAGTTAAAAAAATACTTGAGGAATGGAGAAAATCGTATCTTGGGCATTTTTTTAGAGGCCCCTTCCAATCCTATGCTAAACATACCGGACCTTCAAGAACTGAGAAACATTGCGGACGAAAATGGGTTCTGTGTTATTGTTGACGATACTATTGGGGGTCTGAACATGAATATTTTACCTTACGCTGATATTGTTTGCTCCTCTCTCACCAAACTCTTCAGTGGCTCCAGCAATGTCATGGGGGGTTCAATACTACTCAATCCACTGTCTCGGTGGTACAGTTTTGCTCGCACTTATTTTGAGAGTAGCGAGTTCGAAGAACTTCTTTGGCTTCAAGATGCGATTGTGCTTGAAGAAAACTCAAGGGATCTTGTTCAAAGGACAATGAAAACGAACGAGAACACAAGGAGGCTCGTTGATGAGGTGCTCCTACCGCAAGAGGGAAAACTCTTCAAAAAGATGTACTATCCATCCCAAAGCTCCAAGGAGACCTTGAGAAACTACGATGCCGTTCGTAGTCCAGAGGGTGGTTATGGAAGTATGCTTTCGTTAACCTTTTACAATGAGAAAGATGCCGAAACGTTTTACGATAATCTAGGAGTCTACAAAGGGCCTTCGAATGGCACAAACTTTACCTTGGCATGTCCCTATGTTCACCTGGCGCATCACTTCGAACTCGAAGCCTCGTCTAAATTCGGAGCTGATCCTAATTTTGTAAGAGTTAGCGTTGGACTAGAGGACTTTCAGTGTTTGAAAACAGCTTTTGCGGATGCTATTGCCGTGACAAGAGGATAAATGGTCAAAGTCATAAGCTTACAAAAATGTCGTGGGTACGTGGGTAATATTTGATACAGCTGTACTATATGAAGAATTGTGCAGACTACTTGTAACGGCCCAGAATGACAATCATACAGAAAAAAAACACAACACTCTTCATTCAATTTCGGACCTGAAGTAGAATTGAAAAACCATAAGGAAAGATCAGCGTTAAGTTATGATTATACAATCTTCAGCCTTGGCATGCCAGCAGGGGGGAAGCTCGAAGGCTTCGTGTTCACGTATATCTTGCCTCAATGGACTACTTTGTCAAATTTCATACAATTTGAGCTCAGAGCATATGTATTCGTGCCGACTCTATGCGAATTGCCGGGGCAATACTTATAAAGGTCGAGAGAGGGGCGCCGTTTTGTTGAAGTGTGCCTTGAGACTATGGTGTATGTAAACCGAGCTCAATCTTAGCTGCGAACCCTTTTTGTCCTTGAGTCCTGGCTCCAGCTTAAAGCGTAAATTTCTCGAAACGAAGCCATTTGCGTGAACAGTACTTTGAAATTACGTAGCAAGACTATACAGGTATGCCTTATTATTGTAAAAGCTTTTCTTGACTTACTCGAGGAAGCAGCTTGAAAGGGTATGGAAGTGTCAATGACGAAGGAAGTTCCTCGCCAAACTACCTTTGCAGGTTCGAAAGTGCATCAGTTTTTACTTCACAGTGTACAAGAGACGCTGATGCAATTCTATTATATCTTCCCACGACATTGGCGTTGAGAGACCCAGGAGCCGAAGATGGAACTTTTTCAAGCGCTTGGTCTGGAGAGAAGTAAACATCGATTTCAAATGTACATGTGACACGGTCTTCTTAATTCGAAATCCTGCAATGGAAATAAAACATTAATTTGACGTTCCCTTCAGTACTCCGGCCGAAGATCGCCGTCGGCCGAGGGCTCAAACCCTCATTTGTTGAGTTATAAAAGAGAGTAAAGAATCAAGGCTCTCATTTTAACCAACGATTCAAGAAGAATCATTAGAGAGCATGCTAAGCGAAGAGAGTACATCCACTATCAACAGAGAACAAATAAAGCAACTTTACAAAAATGGTATCTACTATCGCGAACTAATTACTGGAAAGTCTCCCGAGCTGATCGTCGAAAACCTGGATCTTACTCTTGATAAAAAAACCTTATTTATGGATCTGGACTTTTCAGTATCGCATGGTGACAAGGTGACTATAGTCGGAGAGAATGGGAGCGGAAAAACTACTTTTCTCAGTCTTTTAGCCGGGGTTGATGATTATCCTTATTCTGGGTCCATTGAAATTGAAGGTAGGATTGGTTTCCTTCCTCAACACTTTGAAGAAGTTGATGGGAACTTACAGGCAATTGAAGTGTTACTCAGGTCATTGTACGATGATGAGATTAATGAGTTTTTAAAATTACCCTTGAAGCCTTTCTCACAGGAGTGGCTCCAAGAGCTCAACTCTCTGGGCGGGCATGAGATATTCAAGCAATTTTCTCACATTGGGCTAGACAAAGAAGTATTGAATCGTGCTTTCAAGTCTCTAAGTGGTGGTGAGAAGACCAAAACTCTTCTCTGTGCACTAAGCATTCTGGACCCTGACTTCATCTTGCTGGATGAACCAACAAATCACCTGGACAACAAAGGAATTGCATGGTTAGAGTCTTTTCTGAAAAGGTTTGGGGGCGCTGTTGTAATGGTTTCCCACGACCGTGCTTTGATTAATGGAGTTTCAAATTTCATTTCGGAGTTATCCCCATATACCAAAAAGTTTACACATTTCAGAGGTGGCTACAAACACTACTTGGAAGAAGAAAACAAGAGACGACAAAGATCTATTGAAGATAGACGGTTTCAAGATAAGGAGCTCAAAAAACTGAAGTCCAAGGCTGTTCAAGCTCAATCGAAAGTTAAGTCACGAATTGTTAGATCTGGGTCAGATAGAGATAAACTGAGTTATAATAACAAAGAGCAAAGAGCTCAGAAGGGGATTATGGGTTTAGTTAATCAGATCACTGATAAAGTTGACCATCTGAATGACAATTTAGTTGAAGTCATCCCAGATAGATCTCAAGTTTCCTTCGATTTTGATGGTCTTTCTGCGTTAAGCTCTCTTTTGGGGATAACTGTAACTGACATATCGAAATCGTACGAAAAGAAGATTTTTTCCAACGTATCTTTTACGCTGACGAAAGGTGAAAGATTGATCATTCAGGGGCCGAACGGCTCTGGTAAAACAACTTTAAATCGGATTCTCATGGGCCATACTCAACCCGACAGTGGATTAGTTACTATTAGTGGGAATGCAGTTGTTGGTTTCTTGGATCAGGAACAGGAAAACCTTCCTTTAGACAAGTCTCCAGTAGAGTTGTTGGAAGAAGATCCTAAAATCAAGGCATCAAGGCAGACGGCAATTCGTAATTTACGTGACTTTGGCATCTATAAGTGGCACGATCTAAAAAGTCCTTTAAAACATTTGAGTGTCGGGTGCCGTCGTAAATCACAGCTTTGTCAAATTATCATGAGGAAATGCTCTATCCTTATTTTAGATGAACCTACGAACCATATTGACTTCCCGAGCTTAGAAGCTATTGAAGAAGCGTTGCTTAAATTTCCGGGGATTATCATTGCAACTACACATGATAGGTACTTCACGGAAAAGGTTGGCACAAGAGTCATAGACTTCTCAAACTACACTACAGAATGAACTTGACCAGTTAGTCAAAATTTACTTCCATTTTGTGGTCATATCGCTTATGTGTGGTACGGATAACAATGAAACAATGACTTGCTGTGACATACAGAGGATAGTTGATTTTGATCTTGAATCAACTTGGAGCGGGAAACACTCTCACCTGTGCAGGCGTAGGTATGGCTTAGTTAAAAATGGTGGAGCAAGATCCAAAATTCGGACAGGAGCAAAGAGGACGCGCAAGAGACGAGTCAAGGCGCAAATCATCACCATATATTGCGGGTCAAATTGTGATTGTAATTTCATGTTAAAACGACGTAGATTGTATAATATTTATTGGATGATACCAAGAGTATCAGGATGTCTAAAGCATTTGTCTTTTTTTGTTATTGTTGTTGTTATTGTTATTGTTGTTTGTAGCAGGCATGCGTGTGTTTCAAACTTTGCCTTTATGTTCAGTTGTTTCATTCTTCTCATCGGCCGTTGTCCTTGTGCGTCTATTAGAAGTAAGCAGGGAAAAGACGAAAGATAACGCGCTGCAACCTAAAGCGAAAAGGAAAACGTTACGGATAGATTTTGCTAATAGCTGTCCGAGTTCTGAGTCCCTACCATCGAAATGGTGGTTTCTGTAACTAATGACCTCCTCCGTGCTCCCGAATTTGGGAATTTCAGATGATCCTGCGGTAAAATTGTGGAGAGAAATCCCGAAGATAGTAGTGCTCACAATTCCTGCAAATGCAAATCCCAAGGTCTTTAGAAACGTGTTGTAGGCAGTTACTTCGATGAATTTGGTGTGATAATCAATATCGTTGGAGTTTATCTGCAGTTGACAACTGATCAAGCTTAATTGATACACCACCCCAAAAGACGCCCCGGCCAGCATACTGTAACCAATCGATGCACCTAGCCGGGTATTGCTGTCGATAAGCGTGAGAAGACCAGATCCTATGAAGCCCAAAGTAGTACCCACAATTATAAGCGGCTTCACAATACCGAATTTTTCGTTTATGAAAGCGCTCACGACAACCGAAATCAATGCTGGAACAGACATCTGCCATAGATGGATGCTGGCTAGTGTTGGTTTTTTATTGACCACAAGCTGGTAGTACTGCACTAAAAAGATAGATTGCAGCTCAAAGGCGAAACAGTTGAAAAACCCGGCTAATGAGCTGGTCAGAATGCCAGAGTTGGAGGCCATAGTCCAAGATATCAATGGGTTAGCCGATCTTTGACGAGCTTGTCTCCCTATCCAGGGAAGTAGGCAGAAATCGTATACCAAAAAGAATAACAGCAAAGTGATTCCCACAACGAACATTGTTATGATTGATCCAGAATCCCATGCAAACCTGTTTCCACCGAAGGTGAGAGCCAACATGATGAGGGCAAAGCCTGTGGATGAAAATATTAGACCCATAATGTCGAGCTTGAAGAACAACAGCACGAAAACATTAAACCAAAACTCTCTGTGAAGAATTCTTCTGTACTTGTAAGCCTTCGCTTGTCTCCAAATTTTGAGAATGGCAGGTCGCGGCGTATTGCCGGTTGGATTGAAACCCAAAGAGAGAATGACCAGTGCTACTCCCCCGACTGGAAGATTCACGTAGAAACACCATCTCCAAGAAACGTGCTCTGCAAAGGCGCCGCCTATAAAAGGTCCCACGCCTTCTGCAATCATGTACGCGATACCGAGAATCGTTATGACCCTGGCCCTGTGTTTCTCCGTTACCATCGATGTTCCTACCGCAAACACAAGAGATTCTATTCCGCTCCCGGCGAAACCTGCTATGACTCTTGCTCCTATGAGCATCCCCATCGAGTTGGCCACCGCCGCCAGTAGAGACCCCAGTTCGAATATTACTATCGAGATTACCAAGCTGCTCTTGAGGCCCAAGAGTGACGCCAGTCTCCCCCACAAAAGCATGAAAAGAGCATTGGGCAAATTGTAGCCAGTCATGATCCAACCTACATTGCTGTAGTCTTTAAATTTCTCGCCAATAGTGTCATACAGGGTGATGCAGATTACTATATCCAGAGCACCTAGGAACAATGCCAAACATAGCGAAGCTATGCAAAAGACCAGTACCGATCTTCTCATTGTATTTGGGCTTCTTTCGGAGTTTCACTCATTCGATGCCCAAGTCTTTTCGCCGAGATAAATTAAACGAACCGCCTCAATTTCCTTCATCCCAAAAGCCGTTCGCACATATAGTTTCCGGAAAACTTTGATTTTTGCGCATTGGCCAGGACACACCAACACATACTGCTGCCGAAATCCGTGCTTTGTCATTTTCACCAGAGGCTTAGTCTGGAGCATTTTTAGAACCTCTGAACCTGCATTCTACATCATGTCCGGCAGCGCCTCGTCGTCTTTTAACCTACGTCGAATGCAACACGAAATACGAAGAGCCCTGATTTGGATTTTTCTAAGTACTAACTATCGACTTCCATGGTTACGTTGCATGTGGTTAAGAAAACTGAAAAGTCGAATAAGACATACGAAAAAGAAGGTATGAGCCATCTTGTTTCTACACAATGACTCTATACGTCGACCACATCTCGTTGGGCCTTAGATAATCTTGGAGCCTTACTGATCATTCATACTGGTTCCGAAGAGAAGTCCAACACCGACGACTTCAATAGCCCTGATGCGTCGTTATGAACGGATATGCAAGAAGTTTAAAATACCAAGGGAAAAAAAGGAAGGCACAGGTTATCTATCAGTTGCAAATGGGTTTTTTGGGCATCTCGCGGTGATATCGGACAATTTTGTGCGTCACGATGGAACTAGACGGTGTAGTGAACGGTTCTAGTTGACCCCCTCGAAATGGTCCTGCTTGACTAACACGCAATAGGCAATAATAAGACGCATGTATTACATGCGAAGAATGAGAACTTGCCTGGGTGATGATGGTAATTGCACAATCTATGAGAAGGAATAAAATTCACAAATGGTTAGGAAACCGGCTCGCTTCAGTTACTGTTGTGGGTTTGTTGCTTCAAACGTCCACCTCATCTTTCATAGAATATTTATCCTGGTTGAAAAATACGTTATACAAGTTAGAAATTGGATGTCAAAACATATATTATGCAAAGGCTTCTTCAGGGCCTCTTCTAGAAGAATTCTGGTATATAAATCTAGACCACCAATGAGGCCACGGACTGCAACACTGGAGGTAAACATTGCACAAAATAGATGGGTTACTCACACAAGGGCTGGCGATTTATTCATTCAGTTGCATTCGATGATAGTAGTTGCACAATTGTATTTACACAAAGCGCCATAGAGGCCACTGGTCGCAACACATTCAGATTGATCACACAAGCGCTACCAATTCATTCACTCACTATATTCAAAGTTATTACCCAGAATTCCAGCTTTGAATTCTGGACCCAAAGTACTGGTATTTCCCCAAGGTTTCCTTTTGTTTTCCTTTTCAATGGTTGCCGCAAAACAATGCTTCTAATTTTCCCTACTATACCGCTTGTTGATAGCAGAAAGAGTCTTTCTGTGAATAAGGTGGGTATATTTGCCCAAATTGTCTAAAACCGTCACGATCTGTAAAATAAGCCCTAGCTTTGTTATAAAGCCAGACTCTCCTAGGTCTTGATGACGAATAACTGCCTCACATACGGCATCTGCGAATTCTACGTTGCCATGCGTTTTCTTGAGGACAAGTTCTCTTGCTTTAACACCTCCGTAGTATTCAAAAGACATCTTGGTTACATTCATGTTCTTTTCCGTAGTGCCAATGTCATGAAGCAAACACGCCGAAAATAAAACATCGGAATCGATTGCCCATTCGGTGGACTGATCCTTCAAAATGGCCTCACCGTATTGATAGGCTCTGAGTGAATGGTTCAACACAGGAAGTGGTAATTCCTCAGTCGCATAATTCAAAATACTCTTTGCCAATGTACTATTTGGCAACTCTGCGACTGCTAGGGGTGTGGGTGCTTTGAAGTTTGCAGTGGCTTTTTCAACACTTTTTGTAACATGATCGAACCCGTACCTACACATTTTTCGTTAGTGTGGGTGTTCGTTCCTAGAGTCAGCTGAAAGTACAACAAGTCCCTCCTTTAACTGCCATAACACAGCATTTAAGTATACGCAGAAGTTAACGATCAAGCTCCCCAGACGCTATTTGCTAAATTTTTCTCCTCCCTTAACTTTCTACTATGCTACTATCTTTCGTTCATTGCTTGATCGTTAACCTAAAAATGTTTGGCACGCTTTTTCAAAGTCTTTTCTCCCCCATTGAAGGAGACAAGACAACGCCCCACCCCCACTTCTCATAGCCTATCAATAAGTGGCTGCGCATATTTTTTGTAGCTCGAAACACTGTATGTGCCGTATGTGTGAGCGATACCAACGGTTGTGAAAGTTCCTAGATTTTTGTTAGTTCTGTAACTCAATCTTCTCATCACACTTGACCATGATCGCTGGGTTCTAACTCTTGACGCAAGAGACAGGACAGGGATCTGACAGAATTAGCCTTCAGCAGATTGGGTCTCGTTTTCCCGATACTGGCTGCACCACTTGCGGCCGAAGCGCACTTGTACAATAATTAGTACAAGCGCTGCGCACAGTATGGCAGAAAGCATCGTAAACCCCCAGCCTATTCCAATGCTATCTAAAATAGGCATAGCTGCCGCTGAACCACCGGCACCTAATAGGCAGCGCGCTAAGTTGACGGCTGCCGAAGCCGAGGCGCTTCCGTTAGGGAACAAGTCAACCATATAGGTAGAAACTGTACTTTGAATGGCCATAGCTGCCCACCCTGTGAAAAAAGTGCAGATAGTGGGCACGGCTATGTGGATATGTTTATCCAACGTCCAACCAAATAGAAGTACAGAGCAGATCTGTAATGTGCTCCATATCCACATAAGCCGAAGTCGCACCTGATCCAATGGCATTTCGTCCTCTTTCCCCTCGTATTTGGCACTCATGGCTGTATAATCCTTATCCAATAGTTTCCCGGTCGTCAACGATCCCAACATCGAACCCACACCGTTTGCTATAAATGCAAGTCCCACCTGTGTTTCATCCAGCCTGTAAGTTGACTCTAATAAAGTTGAAAGAACGGTGATGGTCATCTGCCAAACGGTGTAGTATAGGGCCAGAAATGCGATCACAAGCCTAGCACGTTTATCGAAGAGGGCTTTCAAAGAGGCCCAAATATCGATAGACTTCTTCGGTGGTAATCGTGATTCTGTTTGTATACTTTCAGAAGGGTTCCGCTTCAGGTAGCGGCGCTGGTATATCTCTAACGGAAACTTCCAGACACCGTGGACAGAAAATGAGCCGTTCCCAGCAATGGATCTTAAAGTCTCAGGCAGCGTTAAAGCAAGAAAAGTCACAAAGATACCACTGTATATAGCCAAGAACCAGAAGACTGATCTCCATCCTAAGGATTCGGCAAGCACACCTCCGATGATTGGCCCGACGGCCACGGGAACCAGTAATCCAGCTTGAAAGATTCCCATATATCCTCCTCTTTCAGATCTCGTGGTAATGTCGCCTATGACACCTGCGCCGAGTGCTATGCTGCTAGCACTCCCAGCACTCTGTAGACACCTCACACCCACTAAGGTGCCGTAATTTCGAGTATTTGCAAGAGTGACGCATGCAGCAAAGAATATCAGAAAAGTACATATGAAAGTGATTCGTCGTCCTTTCACATCAGCTAAAGCCCCCCAAAAGGTCGGAGCGAGGCCTTGGAATATCATGTAAGATGTTATGGTGAGATTTACGAGCTCTACAGAGACAGATAGGTCGGTTGCGATCTTTGGTAATGAAGGGTAGTAGATGTTGGATGCAAATCCAGAGAAGGAGGCGGCCACTGAGACGATTATGATGAGACACATTTTTTCGTTATTGGAGTAGATACTGAATAGTTGTTCGTCATTGGCTTCAGCTGCTAATTCTTTCCTGGAGTCGTTCCTACTTTCATTGCCAATCTCAAATTCTTTTACGATAGGAGCGGGTGGGTTATTGTCGCTCATTACAGTCCTCCATATCTCGATTTCTGCAACAAATCGGAACTAGGCAGGACGTATATATATTATATATATATGTATGACCGAAAATCAATATTAGTTCTCCGAAGATTAGTATCGGAACTCCGAAAGTAGGTCTCCACCGACGAAGTCACATTGTTAATAATTCCTCGAGTGAGGGAGCGCTATATAGACAAGTTCGTCGGTACGACAGTCGCCGCTTGTCATTTAGAGAGAGAAGGACTCACATTGAAAAAACTATTGTCGTATTTGATTATGGCTGAAGATTTCGTGCCTGCCGAGTCGGTTCCATAGTTCCGTAAGGACACCTGAGAAAGCCAGAAGGCGTAAATCTGGGCGGAAAATCCAGCAGCTATGCGCACATCCAGTCACCGCGAACAGTATTATGCCATGATTATTCAAAGCCTAAAGCCAAAGATCCGCTCTGTCGTCTTAAAAAAAATTTGATGTCCAAGTGTCAAAGAATTATTGAATCAATTCAAAGGAATGATTAGGTGCATATTGTATTAGAAATGTGTATAATGGATTTATTGCTTACTGTTTTTTGGAAAGCACTCAAAAAAACCTAATCACATCTTTTCCTGTGGCTATGATTGCCATAAGCATTACAATTACGACAACCAGATAAGTTGCTCCCTGGTCTAACGCTCTCGCACCACCACCCACAGGGACTACGTGACCGGTTGTCAAGCCTAAGAGGATCTAAGGTGGTTGCAACCCAGGGCGTGCTAAGAAGCGTACTGAAAGTGAGAGTTGCGGAGCTGCTTGAGCTGAAATTTCCGTCTGCGTCTCCATTTGAAGAAAAATACACGCTCGTTTCTTCGTCAATTTCATCTAATGCTAGCATATGCGCTTCTGCTGCTTGTAACCAAGCGGTAATGTTGACAACAACAAATTATCCAAAACTGTGTTATTAGCAGCATTAATGCTGTTCACACAAATCGTAAAGTGGACGAGATCAATGGGGTGGGTGAAACAAGCGATGATGAGTCGAACACAAGCGGCTTTTCTACTCATGCATTGAATAACGCACCCGAAAATGAAGGGGTTACCTCTCCACCAAAAGAAAGTTCACAGGTCCAACAAAGGACGACGGATGATAGATCGAGTTTTACCGGTGTTCAAACCATTGACAAATGCTTACCTGAGCTGGTAGATGCAAGAATTACCCAATCTGTGCAAATTCCGCGTGCGACTAGTGCAGATGGGCCTATAGCTTCTCAAGTGATGAATAATCGTCCTTTGCAGAGGGCATCAGTTGGTACGATTCAGCAGATTGTCACTGTACTCTCGGAGAGCTGGACTTATGCTACTAATTCATAGAACCACATTTCTGCTGAACCTAATTACTATCATCACCTCACCAGCTCTTGCGAGTCAGAAGGCGAGCACGGAAGGGCCAATGCTAAAAAAGCATTGCCTTTGAATGAACACATGAATTCTGAACAGGCTTTCAAAGAAAAGTTTGGTTTTGATTTCACAAAGTTTTCCATGAATCCTTTCAGTAAGTCGTACCTGAATCTGGGTTCAAGTGAAGGAAGAATGGAAGAGAATATGGGAAGAAAGTTTGATTCGTGGCTTTCTTCCTCTTTATACGGAAGTTGGGCTACGAAAGTAAAGGACGAAAGCCCTCATGTCGTATGTAAATTTGGTTAGTGTGGGCAAGACTTTACTCTACAGGGCAATCCCACGTCATCTAATGTCGTTAGACATCTCAAGCGTAAGCACAACCATGACTTTACATTATTCAGCAAAGCCTTGAGTGGAAATGAAGAAACGGTACATTCTTTCTCCACAGTTCGTTCAACTTCTCCCAGATCCATTCCTTTGACCAAAAGGTTTGTCAAATTTTGGGCTCTCAACGATTTAGCTCCGTGCGTACATTGAAGGCTTCATACCGTTTAGCCGGGTCGAGGGCCTTTGATGAGACGCTATCTGCAGAGTCTCAATAGAGCTCATCGACCAATCATTTCATCGCGCAAGGAACTTGCCAGAATTTTGAGAGACTATGAAAACGAGTTCAGCAAGCAACTGAAGCACACTTCACGAAACTCCTTCAATTTCAACATCTTGATAGACATGTGGACGTCTGCAGGCCAAAAGAGCTATTTGGCCGTCATGATAACACTCGGCCCTAACTTGAAAACGAAGTCACGCTTGGATAGGAATGCCGTGGTTGCTTGAAGAAATCAAAAGACACACGTACTTGATTTCATAGACATGAGTGATCGCGACACACAGGCGATAATCTTGAGATTGCTTTGCTAGCATGCCTCAGCAAACGTTCTATCAGTCACAAAATCAGCAGCATTACCTTGGACAATGGGTCGGATAATGTTGCCATGCTGGAAAATCTCATTAATGCTCTTGAATTGGGATTGGATCCAGAAGCAGATGTATGAATCATGTTTGGAATCGAGTGTTTATTGATTCGTTCCGATCTTTTGAAAAGCACCACGCTGGCCTGCTTTCGAGATTCGACAAGCTCTCATACTATACCAGCAGCAATGTCTTCACTAGAGAAAAACTTAAAGCTTATCTTCCTTGTTCTATCTCAAATTATAACACAACAAGATGCCTATCACGCTTCCGTCGGCTTGAGACCTTTCTGAGTGTATCCAAACAAAAGGCGAAGAGGTTTTACTGGAAACACCGGCTTGATGCAGAATATCAACTGAGACAATTTGAT